ATCAATACAGATGCTGCATTCATTGCATTCGACATGTTTACTCACTGACAAATCATGGATCATGTTTCAATAGGAAATACATCAACAAAATAAAAAAAATATATGCTTATCAAGCCATTTCATAGGTTTTTAACCCTGACATATGAAATAATAATCAGAAAAATCAAAAAAAAAAATGTATAAAACAGATTATTGAACCTTTAGACGTTATTATTGTATCAAATATGATATTGTAGGCTCTATAGGGTTAAGCTGGAAGCACAGAATACAGGATGCTGATAAAGCTTTTGGTTAATTTAATCACATCGAGCATTAGGAGAGACGCAAGTTCAATATATTGGCCGAAAATGGCTCAGCCAGTCTCTAAAAACAAACAACTTTAATAAAAATCAAGTACCAGAGGTACACCAGCAGTGTGGTTTTCTCATTTGATGTGTAATCATTCCCACACTCAGCCCTCGTGTGCAGTAATGAGAATATTAGTTTTAATATTACATCTCTTGCATATTTTGCTTTGTTCTGTTCACTCCCAGAGCGCAACATCTTTCTATATTAACACTTTATTTGCATATAAAACAGTGCAGCTCCTATTGTAGCTCGAGAATAACAGAACGCCATCACCGTAAAGACATCTCACTTCAAATAAATACAGGCCATTATGATGCACAAAGAACGTTTAGATTAACAATTCAGTTCTGTCAGCAATCTAATATGCAGGATTAGCAGGCAAAAAAATAAATAAAAATAACAGAAATACAACAGAAGTCTCTTTAACATCCCAATTGTTTCTATTAAATGAAGACTTTTGTGAGTCTACTGATTTTTCTCCTGAGAGTCAGGGCCTTCTCGACAAAGATTCTTTGATAATAGTAACTGACCTTCATCAAAAGATGTTTCTGACATGTCAAAACATATCTCAACTTCTCCTATCCCAGATTATAAATAAGTCATTTGTACTTCCCCCCACAAAAGTGTAAAATGTGGCTCTGAGGCACTATCAAAACATTGCTGTTTGTTTATGAATCCCGACCACCCTGACATAGCAACAGTGGCTCAACCAATAGCGTGATTGGGTGGGGGGGGGGCTTTCTGTTTGTTTGACCAATGACAGGCAGGGTAAATGTTTCGGAAACCTGTTTGCAAAGAGTCATTATTTCAGTGAAGAAAGGTAAGTGAATAAATTTTTTTACTATCTATCTAGAAACATTAAATATTTCTGCACAGTTTCAAAATTAAATAAGAGAGCATTCTCAGATGATTCTCTGACAACTGAATAGGGCCTCAATGTGTTTGTAGTCTGTGTTCATTAGTGAAGCGTGGCTCTCAGATGGGAATGTCTTGTAGCTATTCTCCACGGAGCACAGGACGGCCTGTTATTACCAGAATGCCCAGAGAGAGAGCAACCGAGACAGAGAGAAAGAACTGGATGAGAGCGGTGGAAAACACACAGCAATCTCACTTTGGTACCACATTTCAGTACCGCGTTATCGCCTTGCGCCATCAATCTGATAAATGCTCTGAGGAGAGAATTATCACTTGACAACTTGATTTTAGCAAAAAATGACACGTTGGCACATTGAGTCATGGTGCTCAAGCAGGAGATGTAGGTTTAAATCCTCCTCTAGCCAATATTGGTGCATTCAAGTCAAGTTGGAAAGATCGCATTTACGAGTTGAGTGCACATGAACGTCACCACAAAGTCGTGATTACAAGTGTGAAAATATGAACTTTCATTAAGTTTCTGAGTTGGGTGTCAGTGAGAAAATATGGTGAAAACAATAGCTACAGCATCTGTACTGATGGTATCCTGATGCAAATTCTTTATTCATGATTTTGTAGAAGTAGAGTTTAAAAATCTTGCTGAATTATTAGAAAACATACATAGTCATTTTGCTCCTACCACAGTTACTTGAACTCATCTGATGCTGTAACTTCCCAGGAGGACTTGAAAGCACCATATTTCCATCTTGTCCACTGGGTCTATGCAAAAATAAATCTGACATAACTCTGAGGTCTCATTCTCCATGTCAAGTATGGCCTCACAGGTTTCCAGGAGAAAAACAAACCACATGCAACTTCTCCAACCTGTAGGTGAGAGTAAATTCACCCGACTATCAACGTGGTCGCTATGAAAAACAGCCAATGAGCTCTGACAGATGGTAACAAGCACAAAGGCAGCAGTTTGGTGAGCAAGTGGCCTTTTCAAACCTTTCCCACACAGACAGCCATGCTCTACATGCGTTTTGACAGCAACCGACGAGCACAACTGTTCAAGACACACTGTAAACTACCTGATAGACAGGCTCCAGCGCATTCGGTCAATTCTCATCTTTGGATATTTTAAAAATCGCATGTTATATGAAATCTACTACTGTAAATAATTGTTGTTGAGGACCAAAAAAAAAAAAACTACTGTAAACAAAGAGCAGTTTCCATGCTTTTATTAGTAATTGGCCAATACACATTTTTTTTTAAATATATATTGATGTCAACAGTAATGGATATCAATCCATTGGTATTGGTACCAATCCATTACTCCACAAGTAATCCACACAACTCCAGTTCATCAGTCAGCATCTGAAGAGAAAAGCTGCATGTTCATAAGAAACAAATCCATCATTTAGGCATTTTAACTTTAAACCTTTAAACTTCCTCCAGGGAAAAATCTCTCACATCAAAATCCACTGATATATTGGTTTAAAACTGTTTTGGACTGTTTTCACTTGTAAACGGTGCTCGATCTGCATATTTCTCTCCTGATTCAGACAAGATTACTTTTTCACTGGAGAAAGCAATATTATGGACAGAGGAATCATTAAGACGTTTGAAGTTAAAACACATTAATGACACATTTGTTTCTTGCAAACACAGCTTTTCGATTTACAAGATATTACTTGATGTACTGGATTCATGTGGATTACTTGTGGATTACTGTAATGTTACCCATTCACTGCAAAAGATCCATTGGTGAGCAAGTGATGTAATGCTACATTTCTCCAAATCTGTTCCGATGAAGAAACAAACTCATCAACACATCTTGGATGGCCTAAGGTTGAGTACATTTTTTAACAAATTTTCATTTTTGAGTGAATTATTCCTTTACTGTACATGCTAATGTCCCCTATTATTACATTTAGATTAACATTATTCTAATGCTCACTTAAAGTCAGGATTTAACGCAAACAGATCAAATCTTTTCCAGACAAGATTTTTTCATCTGTATTTTGACGACAATTTGAGTGAAATAGATTACTGAAAAAGAAAAATTCAGGACGGGGACTTGGTTCTGTTCCGACAGTTGTTGATTGGATGGAGACAGATCTGAGTGCAAGCTTGCAGTCAATTGACCTTTCGCAGGGAGTTTGATTGACAGGCGATCTGACCTATCATAACGCTAAAGCTGCCATTTTGTCCGACAAACAAACCAGATTAACATTGGTGGACCTGAACTTGAAAAATGGTGTGTACTGACTTCTTTCCGTGGTTGAAACAAGATACCTTCTTATGTTCATTTTTATTTTGTGCTATAACTAGTAAAAAGGAAGAGATGATCGGTTCACATGCCTCGTGAACTGAGGCTACAGCGATCTGTCATGACACATTCATTTTTAAATTTATTGACAAAATTTGACAAAATGACAAAATTTGAAAGCTGAGACTTTGTTTCATACTAAATATAACCTGCTCTGTCTTGTCTGTTGGCATGTTGTCAGTGTCCTCTTTGCTCCACGATGTACTTTTCCCTGCGTGAGAACATGATGTGTGGCATGAGAGCGCCATGGCTTGTCGGACATAACAACAGTAACGAAAGGGGGCGGGTCTTTGCGAATGGTCAATTGTAAAAAAAAAAAAAAGAGTCTGGGTTTCAGCAGACTAAATGGCTGGAGAAGTCTGGCACGCGTCACCAGAGAGAAGTCTGTCATTTCACCGGAAGATTTTGATCAGGAATTACGAGGTCAAAAGATGGCCTTGTAATTACAAAAAAAGTTAGTTTTTATATTTTTTAAATAAAACATATACATAGACAAATCATTCGCAATGTACACACTATGCATTATGCACTATGCATGCATCTACAAAATATAAAGCGTAAATTTTCATTTCATGCTAACTTTGTAGAGATTCCTGTTCCTGGCAAGGCCATAGAAAAATGAATCCAATATTGGCTTCTTTTTCCTATCTCCTGGAGGGTGAAAGGCATTATGGGAGTGAGTAAAATATGAGTGGATACTAGCAACAGGATGCTGGATGAGCTGAATGTACCAAAGAATAAAACCCTAATGATTGTTTTGGCAGTGACAGAGAATGTAGCGTGTAGTATGTTATTGAAGTGGTAACATGCAGAAATTAGTTCTGCACACATGACAATGAATTATGCAAAAAGAGCTGCTGAGATTGTTATAAACATGAATGATTCAAATCTATATCTTGCTCTCTCTCTAAACTGAGTCTTTGGAGTGACAGGATATTTTTAAAGATACGCTCCTAGATCACCGGTTTCAAAGAGCTCACAATGACACTTTTATACCTTGTTGTGACATGCAGCTATTTGAACAGTGAAAGCTTGCTATGGGCAATAAACCTTTAAGCTTTCACAAATCTTTAAGTATTTGTCAGTGTATACCAAGTATAGCTGTGTTCCAAAACCTAGTGAGCTTGTCTTGCCATCTACTGCCTACATACACAGGGGCTGACTTTACCATTAGGCAAAGGTAGGCAATTGCCTTGGGCCCCGAGCTACCTAGGGGCCCCAAAAAAATCCTGTATTAATATTTGGTTGAGGTTTTTTTTTTTTTTTACTTTATTGCAAATTTCAGAAATTCGCTGAAACTGCATCAGAACGCTTAAATCATTAGTATTGCAAACAGGTGTGCAGGCGCCCCCCAACACCACCACCATTGGACCATTCCATTATTTCACTTCACTGTGCATCTGCAGAACTGCGGAAGTAATTGACAGACAGCGTGTACAGAGTCAGAGCTAAAATGAAGCGAAACTACCCAAGCGGTGCTGAAAAAAGGAGGAAACGGGAGGAAAGCGAAAGGTTTTTAGCAAAACTACAAAAGGTAACAAACTTTTTTTGTGACACCAGCTGACGACGCTAAAGCTAAAGAGCAGAAAAAAACTGATGTCAATATGGAATCTGTGATTGCAAGATTCGCTCGCAAGGCCAGATTTTAGCAACTTAGCACATTTAGCACACAATATCTTTACTTGTCACACAATTTCTGAAAGCTGACACTCAAGCACCGGAACCACACACCAAATCTTTAAAACCATACACTAATTCTCGGCCTTTGACTCAGTTTTCAATTTCATAAATCACTTTTTGCAAAACACAGCACACAATTCTCTAATGTAACACACAAAAATCTAACAGGAATTAATAATATTTGTGATATTTTAAATGCAGTGCTTCATTTTGCAAGAGATGTGAATTCAAGAGAGAGGAAGAAACAGGCAGACAAAGAAAAATAGAAAAGGGAGAAGATGAGAAAGACCAACATATAAAAGACAAGGGAGATGAAGAGAAGTTTAGATACAGAAAAAGGAGAGCAAGAGAAAGTCAGTGTAGCGAATCAGCTCATGGGGAAATATGAATAATTAATCATAACTAGTTATAATTAATTATAATATTTAGATCCGCTGTAGATATTTACTTGACCTCTCAGGGTCAACTGTCTGTCAATTCTAAGAACGTTAATTTCCTGGTTAAAACAAAATATATATTGTGTGTTTGATTGGTCCAGACGCTACAGTCAGAGAAAAAAGGTAAACAATTTAAACAGTATATTATTTTATTTTTGTGTGTCCATAGTTGATCGTTTATTTTTATGGCTTGTGTGTTTTTTCTCATTTTAGTAACATAAGATAGAAGACCATAAACAACTTTTCCAATTTAGGCAGCAGCAAGCAGATCCAGTTAGCAGATTCTATCAGAGAACCTGCTGGGAAACCAAGGTAAATGACAACCAATGACAGCTCTTCCATGTAAATAGACAATAAATATCATTGCACAGGTAACATTATGAAAATAAGATTTTACAGTGGACATATTTGTTAACCTCCTGGGGTCGAAGCCCGCACTGGTGCGGTCTGTCTCGTATTTTCTTTATGACTGCAAAAAGAACTAAAAATACTCCGTCAGTTTTGATCGTACAGATAAGAATAAGGTATCGTTTGAAACTACAAAGGGTCTACTTTTATTTGGGTATAGTCATAATAACAAGAAAACAATGTGCTTTTAAAAAATAAAGAAAATAAACAGGGTGCGTTCTCTGCCGTCTCTGTCTCTGTCACCTCTCTTCACAAACACGTAAATAAAACAACCTGAATCTCCGCGAATACTTGCCTCAAAGACATGAGAAATATATCTATAGAAAGCTTGAAATATCTATGATATTCTTTTAAATGAAGTAAGTCACGTCCAAAACAAATATTCTCTGTTAAAGCAATCCGTATGAAACCAACGCGATGTCCAGTTTTCCAGTCTCAACTCATTATCTCAAATGCGATCACGCCCATGAGCCGATTGCGCTTTTCAAATTCTAAACATCCACGTGAGATGCATGTAAACGACCACATCGCCTCCACGTAAACAAACAAGTTCATCCCGGCTACTTTTTGTTTCTGGAAGAAGACGCCCTGAGAGAAATAACCCAGAATTTACCTAAGAAGAACAAGTACAAAACAACGCGATGCGTCGCGCAGCTAGATCCAGTGGAGAATATCACTCTGATGAGTAGCCTAAGATTACTTACATCTGTTGTTATTGTGACTAACTTGTACACATTTTACTAGTTAGACTTTTCCCAAACTATAATTCCTGACTACATGTATGAAATCAAGTGAAACATTTTGAAATATGTGTCATTTCATTGTCTAAATGTCTCACAATGGCAGGATGTTTGTTTAATGTTTTAACATATAAAACCACAAGATATAAAAGTAGTGATAATACTATGACATTAGAGTCTATGAATGTTTGGCACAAAGGTGTGTTACTATTCAAGTCTCAGTGTTTAGAGTCTCTCAGGTGTGAATCACTAAATATTCATGGCCATTGTCACTCCCTCGCGTAAGGGCATTCTATCACAAAACATGTTTTACAAATATTAAATCAATATATTGTTTTCTGTGAATGAGTGAACAGGATAATTTCAAACAGGGTGCGTTCTCTGCCGTCTCTGTCTCTGTCACCTCTCTTCACAAACACGTAAATAAAACAACCTGAATCTCCGCGAATACTTGCCTCAAAGACATGAGAAATATATCTATAGAAAGCTTGAAATATCTATGATATTCTTTTAAATGAAGTAAGTCACGTCCAAAACAAATATTCTCTGTTAAAGCAATCCGTATGAAACCAACGCGATGTCCAGTTTTCCAGTCTCAACTCATTATCTCAAATGCGATCACGCCCATGAGCCGATTGCGCTTTTCAAATTCTAAACATCCACGTGAGATGCATGTAAACGACCACATCGCCTCCACGTAAACAAACAAGTTCATCCCGGCTACTTTTTGTTTCTGGAAGAAGACGCCCTGAGAGAAATAACCCAGAATTTACCTAAGAAGAACAAGTACAAAACAACGCGATGCGTCGCGCAGCTAGATCCAGTGGAGAATATCACTCTGATGAGTAGCCTAAGATTACTTACATCTTTTGTTATTGTGTCTAACTTGTACACATTTTACTAGTTAGACTTTTCCCAAACTATAATTCCTGACTACATGTATGAAATCAAGTGAAACATTTTGAAATATGTGTCATTTCATTGTCTAAATGTCTCACAATGGCAGGATGTTTGTTTAATGTTTTAACATATAAAACCACAAGATATAAAAGTAGTGATAATACTATGACATTAGAGTCTATGAATGTTTGGCACAAAGGTGTGTTACTATTCAAGTCTCAGTGTTTAGAGTCTCTCAGGTGTGAATCACTAAATATTCATGGCCATTGTCACTCCCTCGCGTAAGGGCATTCTATCACAAAACATGTTTTACAAATATTAAATCAATATATTGTTTTCTGTGAATGAGTGAACAGGATAATTTTCATATAATTTTGTAGCAAAAACTCTAGTCTACCACATCCAGTTCTCAAAAGTCTTGTGAACAAATGTTCTGTATGTTTTATATGGCCTTATTTCAGTGACTTAAAAAATGTAGTTTTTCACTAACCATGCATAAACATTGTTTTCTCAAAAACACAAACATGTGCTTTCATGCTGCTCACATATTATTGTAGCCCAGTTTGTGCTGAATACACTGTTATTAGTCTTTAGACATTAATATGTTTTTAAGATACTGAAAAAAACACAAATGTCAGGGCATGTCAAAACTTCTCCAGGGCCCCAAAACACCCTCAGACCCCAGAGGGTTAAACAGTTAAAATGTTGTGCTGTTTTTTTCTTCTTCTTTCAGATAGAACTCCAGATGACTAGACATCATTGCTTTGTGAAGACTGCTGAAGAGAAATTACAAGTAAAGCCGGGCTCACACTGTGCGATTTTTTTTAAAAGTTCTTTAGGATTGTACTTGTCAGACTGTACGAACATGATGATCATAGCAAAGGCAACGAATCAAATGAATTTGTGAGCAGAGGACGAGAGCGCCGAAGTTTATGCAGTTAGAAGAAATCTCTAGCATTAATTCTGATCATGGCTTGTCTTGTAAAACGTTGTCGGAGGTCAAATTTGATCACAACGGTCATTAATCGGCTGTCGGTGAACATGTCAAACTAACGATCAAAGACTAAAGACTACAGCCTAGGATTATAGGAATCTTTTAGGATTTTCAAAATTTGTCTCAGACGACCAAATCGTGGATCGTGGCGCACAGTGTGAGCCGGGCTTAAGTCTTTCTTAGATAAATAAGGATTGACAAAAGGGAGGAACAAAAGATGTAGAGGGCCCCATGTCTGTGTTTGCCTTGGGCCCCAAAATGGCTAAATCCGCCCCTGCATAGACAGCATCCTAACTAGACGGAATCTTAACAGTAACTGATTTGAAATGTTCTACATAGATAGCAACTCCTCACACAAATATTTCAATAAAGTTTTATATTACCAATATTACCAAATGCTACTCTACATGTAGCTAAATAACACACACATACACACACAAACTCTGGGTGAAATAGGTGAAATAGAAAATTAGACTTAACTATTTTAACAATAACAGCATTCATTATTGTTAAACAAATAGAAGACTCAATTCGCAAGTCGCAACTGATTCCAATAGAGTTTGACATTAGCAGGTTGCTATAATAACAAGGTGTTAAAGTTGCTATTTTAAAGACACTTTTTTAAATCTCTAAAATGTATTTCCAAAATGCATGTTAATAAACGACTTATCCATGCACGTTTAATTTTTGACCTTATAACTTTTTAATTCAAACACAAAATCATGACACATTTCTAGTGAAAATGAAAGACTTCTCTCTAATGATGACATATGCAGGATTTCTCCAAATGTTTCACATTCATAAACCCGCCCCTTTCTTACTATTGACTGCAAGCTCACATTCAGATCTGCCTCCATCCAATCAGAAATTGATGAATAAAATCCTTTTTAGAATCCTTTTTCTTCAATAATCTGTTTCACTCATAGCAAGAGTATACAAGACTCGATTTTACAATTGATGCAAATATTTGTTAAAATAGCAACTTCAAAATTTGACAGATGAGTTTGACTATTAGCATGTTGCTAAGAGTAGGGACACACCAAGCTGATGCCAAAGAACTAGCACTGAGGAAAGCAGACTGTGGCGCCGCCTCGCGTTGCCTTGCATTGCCTTGACAGTTGATGGCATCCAACTAGAGCCAACGGTGTGGAACACACAGAAAAAAACTAAAGCCGACCGATGCATTTGGTATGTCCCGGGCTTTAGATAACAGTGTGATAAATACACACAATGTTTGTGCAATATGAATTATACTGCTAACTTTAGTGATCAATTTTGGTATTGACTGCAAATTATTTACATCAACATTTCTTTCAACTTCTGGTTGAATTTTTCCTTAGACTGCTGCAATCCATTCTGGGATGGCTCTGTCTGTGAAGGACACATGCAGCGCTGCCTTACGATTCGGCCAAAATTAGGTATCTTAGATGGCTGCATAATGTTGCTGCCAACCTTTTGAACAGCTTTTCACATCCCACGATGCCTTAAAATGATTGCTACGTTTGGGAACAGAGCTTATGTGTGCACTGAAAGTCTCATTTAATTCCCACCAACGTCTCACAGATCTAGCAGCTGACTAGGCCTCTTCTAGCTTTATCTGTCAATCTTATCTCTTTCTCGGAGTGGCAGCGTGCCTGTTGACCAGGGCACAGTAGGCGCCCAGTCAGCATGTGACAATAGCAAGAGCCTCATTTGTATGCCGAATGAGCTGCCATCATAAATCTGAGCCGAGAAGCACGGGAACGGGATGCGCCGATCCCGGACTACATTGCTAAATAGTTTGACTAAGATCAGTTTTTGGGTGGATGTTTCAATTACGCTAAATTCTTCAACCATTGGAAGAGATGTGACACCATGCTGATGTGCAGGAACAAGAAGTAACAAGAAAAGTATTATGTGCTGGTGACATTAGCTTTCACTTTACTTATTAAATGTTCTGAACATTATGGTGTAATTATAAACCAATATGGACTTGTCAAGCTGTCTGTTCCCAGCTGTTGCCTGCAGATTCCACATGGTGGTTTTCATCACGAAATCGTGGCCAAAATCGCACAGTGTGAGCCGGGCTTAAGTCTTTCTTAGATAAATAAGGATTGACAAAAGGGAGGAACAAAAGATGTAGAGGGCCCCATGTCTGTGTTTGCCTTGGGCCCCAAAATGGCTAAATCCGCCCCTGCATAGACAGCATCCTAACTAGACGGAATCTTAACAGTAACTGATTTGAAATGTTCTACATAGATAGCAACTCCTCACACAAATATTTCAATAAAGTTTTATATTACCAAGAAAACAGCATGCTACTCTACATGTAGCTAAATAACACACACATACACACACAAACTCTGGGTGAAATAGTCACAGTTTAAAATTAGACTTAACTATTTTAACAATAACAGCATTCATTATTGTTAAACAAATAGAAGACTCAATTCGCAAGTCGCAACTGATTCCAATAGAGTTTGACATTAGCAGGTTGCTATAATAACAAGGTGTTAAAGTTGCTATTTTAAAGACACTTTTTTAAATCTCTAAAATGTATTTCCAAAATGCATGTTAATAAACGACTTATCCATGCACGTTTAATTTTTGACCTTATAACTTTTTAATTCAAACACAAAATCATGACACATTTCTAGTGAAAATGAAAGACTTCTCTCTAATGATGACATATGCAGGATTTCTCCAAATGTTTCACATTCATAAACCCGCCCCTTTCTTACTATTGACTGCAAGCTCACATTCAGATCTGCCTCCATCCAATCAGAAATTGATGAATAAAATCCTTTTTAGAATCCTTTTTCTTCAATAATCTGTTTCACTCATAGCAAGAGTATACAAGACTCGATTTTACAATTGATGCAAATATTTGTTAAAATAGCAACTTCAAAATTTGACAGATGAGTTTGACTATTAGCATGTTGCTAAGAGTAGGGACACACCAAGCTGATGCCAAAGAACTAGCACTGAGGAAAGCAGACTGTGGCGCCGCCTCGCGTTGCCTTGCATTGCCTTGACAGTTGATGGCATCCAACTAGAGCCAACGGTGTGGAACACACAGAAAAAAACTAAAGCCGACCGATGCATTTGGTATGTCCCGGGCTTTAGATAACAGTGTGATAAATACACACAATGTTTGTGCAATATGAATTATACTGCTAACTTTAGTGATCAATTTTGGTATTGACTGCAAATTATTTACATCAACATTTCTTTCAACTTCTGGTTGAATTTTTCCTTAGACTGCTGCAATCCATTCTGGGATGGCTCTGTCTGTGAAGGACACATGCAGCGCTGCCTTACGATTCGGCCAAAATTAGGTATCTTAGATGGCTGCATAATGTTGCTGCCAACCTTTTGAACAGCTTTTCACATCCCACGATGCCTTAAAATGATTGCTACGTTTGGGAACAGAGCTTATGTGTGCACTGAAAGTCTCATTTAATTCCCACCAACGTCTCACAGATCTAGCAGCTGACTAGGCCTCTTCTAGCTTTATCTGTCAATCTTATCTCTTTCTCGGAGTGGCAGCGTGCCTGTTGACCAGGGCACAGTAGGCGCCCAGTCAGCATGTGACAATAGCAAGAGCCTCATTTGTATGCCGAATGAGCTGCCATCATAAATCTGAGCCGAGAAGCACGGGAACGGGATGCGCCGATCCCGGACTACATCGCTAAATAGTTTGACTAAGATCAGTTTTTGGGTGGATGTTTCAATTACGCTAAATTCTTCAACCATTGGAAGAGATGTGACACCATGCTGATGTGCAGGAACAAGAAGTAACAAGAAAAGTATTATGTGCTGGTGACATTAGCTTTCACTTTACTTATTAAATGTTCTGAACATTATGGTGTAATTATAAACCAATATGGACTTGTCAAGCTGTCTGTTCCCAGCTGTTGCCTGCAGATTCCACATGGTGGTTTTCATCACGAGCCGATCAACATCCAAATTCAGCAGGGATGCAGAGATGACATTCAGGATTATGTGATTTAAGTTTAAAAGGAACATTCACCCAAAAATTTAAATTCTCATAATGTTTCAACTGTTTTTATCTATACAATGAAAGTCATTGGTATCCAAAACAACACTGGACTTCATTGACTTTCAAAACATCTTGTTTTTGTTAAAAAGTTTTTAAGAAGACAATTTTTAAAAGAAAGTCATACAGGTTTGGAATGACATGAGCGTGACTAAATGATGAAAGAATTTATATTTTGGGTTAACTATTCCTATAAACTGACATTTATTTCTCACGCAACACTATTTGAATAATAGGAGCTGATGTGGAGAAATCTACAGATGACTCACCAATGGATCCTCTGCAGTGAATGGGTGCCGTCAGAATGAGAGTCCAAACAGCTGATAAAAACTGAATAAAATCCTTTTTAGAATCCTTTTTCTTCAATAATCTGTTTCACTCATAGCAAGAGTATACAAGACTCGATTTTACAATTGATGCAAATATTTGTTAAAATAGCAACTTCAAAATTTGACAGATGAGTTTGACTATTAGCATGTTGCTAAGAGTAGGGACACACCAAGCTGATGCCAAAGAACTAGCACTGAGGAAAGCAGACTGTGGCGCCGCCTCGCGTTGCCTTGCATTGCCTTGACAGTTGATGGCATCCAACTAGAGCCAACGGTGTGGAACACACAGAAAAAAACTAAAGCCGACCGATGCATTTGGTATGTCCCGGGCTTTAGATAACAGTGTGATAAATACACACAATGTTTGTGCAATATGAATTATACTGCTAACTTTAGTGATCAATTTTGGTATTGACTGCAAATTATTTACATCAACATTTCTT